ATCCAAATAATTTCATATAAAATATAAAAAATCTGATTTTTTGAGTAAAAAATTTCAAAAATATAAAATTCAAAATTTCACTTACCGATTTTGTATAGATTTGCTTAAGTCTTTAATTATTGAATATTTTATGAGCGATCAACACACGATATTTTTGCTTACTATTGCTGAGGTAAGCCAAACTCTACTGTGGTTACGGTGCTTTTTGAACTCAATAGGAGCACTGTTATAATTTTTTGCCTGCGCTTATTACCGCTATTTATTACTCAATTACGCGTACTCTTACTTGTCGGTCTATATATTTTCTTGACTAACACCACTTGTTGTCGCACGTAACTGTGTATTGAAACTTAAATATTGTGTCTGACTTTGTGTGCCACCGCGGTCACTATGTGCTTCTAAAGTATGCAAGCGCCAAAATTTGAATGGGACCGCTGTGCTGCGCGTTGTCATTTTATACTCGGCTAACAACGATAAAGTCCGACCGAGCAACAGGATTCTGCATTTCAGCCAATCACAAAACGCTATCAGCCACGAGCGTTACCGAGTATAACGAGTGTGATTTGTTGTAGTGTGGATGCCCACTCAACGCCTCAGCTTCTACATAATATTTGGCAATGTATGAGACACATGGGCGGCTGCTGTAGGGAGGCGCATAGCCAAAAGCGTAGGCTCAACAAACGCCAGCAAGTTTTCAGCTGGGCGCGCAATGAGCTAAGTGTAATTTTTGTTTGTGCATGTGTGTATGTGCTTTTTGGAATTTTTGCACTTGAGTTGTTTGTTTTACTGTTTCCCTTGGGTCATTTCTTAGTTCTATAGGCAACTTTCTATTTTGATTGCTGCTCATCTCTTTTAAATGCTGGCAATAATGTATGCTATGTGAGAGTTGAAATGAATATAGAGAGCATGTTGGCACTGTATATCGTGGATGGGGAGGCTTATGACTTATGTAAACGATTACAACGATTAATTGGTTAAGCTAATCATGCTATCACTGATGACGCATACGTGTTCTCAAAACTCTTAAGCATTTTGTTTTTAAATATGTACGTGTCGTACAATTAGGGCTTAAGATTGCAAAGGTCAGCAGATTTTCCTTGGAATTGCTTTTATGCAAATGAATTCAATGAAGAATATATTCTTTGATGGGAAAAGGGGTAGCCACGAGGCCACATGCCTCTCACGCATGTTACTCACACACACACATAGCTTCTCTAATATATTTCACACCTAAGTTAATTTAGTAGTTACGTCAAGTATTGTTTTCGATTTGTATCCATCTTGTCACTTATTAACTATATTTATATTTACATAAGGGTGAGCCAAAAACCAAACCTCGAATTCTTGAGTTAAAATGAACCTATGTATACATGGAAAAAAGCATCCCTGTTTTATTTTGAAAAGTGTCGGTGAGCATTCAAATCCGTAAACGTAGTTCTTTACCTTTTTTCAAATATACGGATTATTTAATTGAAAAAACTCCCTAAAGTAGATTTAGGAAATTTTATACACTTCGAGCATTCGCAAGTTGTGGTTTTTCTAGTGAAAACTGATTTTTGATGTGCTTTTTATGAGGGATATAGGTGCGTATAGCTTCATTTTAATCCACGAATCCGATAGCCTACTTTTTGGTTCACCCTAACATAGACATTTTTTAAGCATTTCTCAATCCTTGCCTTTCGCTGTCATTTGCATTTTTTACATTGTTGCCGTAATGTTTTTGTTATGATGGCGAGCTCTTGCTACTTACTGTCACTCTCACTGTCACAGTAGCCGCCAATGACTGTGTGAATGTGTGTGCTCAAATTTGTTATCAGCTTGTTTACCACGAATAGGAAATTTATCTGTGGGAAATAATTCTTATTCGAATCAACGTTGGTAAATTTGTTTATTCATTCAACAATCGCAATCAATGTTGCCAATAATCATATACTAATAATGACAGCAATGTGCCACAATCAACACGAAATTGATTGTAATTATAACGCGATTTACTAATCCAAAAATATACCTGTTGACTGCCTGCTGGTTACTCCTATTTTTATATACCGTTATGTGCTTATGATTGACGGTTATGGCGATTTTGGTGTTTATCGTTAGCGCAGATTTTATCGTGCGAGAACGTTTGAACGATCGACAGCTGCATTTCTTTTAATAACACACTTTACGTAATGGATTAGCGTAGATACAGTAGTGGTGAAAACTATTCAAACATTTTCGTATTTTAAAGAATTTTAATTGAAAGATACAGCTGGAGAAAACTGTTGTTGAGAAAGAGGCTTAATGAATTTAAAGTTAATATACAGTTTGGTTATGCTGAAAATGCAAGCATTTATAAACAGGAAAGTAGACTATGTCAAAGGCTTTCCCAGTTTTCTCCTCATAAATGGCATTCTGGGAGTCTGAAAATCGTAGTTCCAGACTTCGATTTGTCTGTCTTGTGGCAGGTAAAACTTCTACTTATTCGGGCTAGAACCTGGCATTTGAAAGCTTTACGCACACTATCCACCATGCAAGGGATTTGTGAATAAAATTATTATCTTCACGTGCCTCTTTAACCCCACTCAACTAACTCCATGGTGTGATCTTATCGAAGCAGTCCGTTTCTTTATCTATCCATTACTTGGTTCAACTGCATTCCTTATTACAAAAAATATAATTATTGCACACCAGATATAATAGGAAACTTTATTGAATAAATAAATATGTTGTAAATACGGTTCCTGAAACCATTTCGATCTTTGGAAACTTTTTCTTTCAAATATTTAGACTGCGATATTAGCACAACTTATATCGGTTGAAGTTTTGATGGATCTAACTACTCTCACTCTGGTAATTACAAATACCGCATTAATGGCACGATTATGCTAAAACAACTTTCCGTAAAATCGACCGGCCCAACGAGGTGTTCTCAGAATAACTCCATTGATTGATGTGAAGTGTGGGAAGTGTGTCTCATCAGAAACTTCAATTTCACACACCAAACCTTTTTTTTCTGGATGAAATGACAAGCTTGCTTGTTTACATACCAATTGAGTCCGAAATAGGTCTCTTCTCTGAACAAACTTTGGTTCGAAAACGTCGGATTTTCTTGGAACTTTTCAAGAGCTCGTAGAGCAAATCGATGTCGCTTGGGAAGATCGTGCGGCTTCAGTTCCTGTTCAAGCTGTATTTTGCACGTTTTCAATTTAAGATCTCGTCGTAAAATGTCCCAGGTCGTTCCCTACGTCAGTCCGAGTTGCTACCAACGGCGCCGAGTCGACTCCCCACGATCTTCGCGTACACTCTCAGATATGGCTGCTATATTTTCTTCACCGTGTGCTGGACGTGATCTATTCGGTCGAATTTTATCCAATAATGAATGCTGGATCTCAAGATGGGTGATGATGTTGCGAATAGTACGCACAGTAGGCCGATTATGCTGACCATGTGTTGAGTATCACGCGCGAAACACGTAATTTTCGTTAGAAAGTTTAACGTTTTGTAAACGTTGTGCAGTCGTAATAAGTCTTTCCATGATGAAATACCACACAATACCGGAAAGAATAAAATGACAGCTTGACATAACGTAGGGGGGATCTGTTCAAATTAGACTATTGAAAAAAGTGCCTCTACTTGGTTAACCCGTTATATGTCTCAGTAATAAATGCCTTTGACATTCGTACCTATCTAGTTTCGATAACTTTTAATTGAGAAACATACATAAATATTTAAGTATAGTTTCTTGGTAACCTGTCCAATACGTTTCAAACACACTGTATGTGCATCAAAACACTATACTCAATTGTGGCATAAACAACAGCAGTATTACCTCAGATAACTATTTCATTTGTCAGTCAAGCATTGAACCTTGAAAAACAAGCCACTTTAATGTTTTATAAATAATGGTTAACGATGAGTAAAATTATGCAAATATTTATGGAAAATACGCGAAACTCATATGCATATGTACATATTCTTATGTAGATATATACCCAGGGATGTTTCAGTCGATTTTTTATAGCTTCTTTTCATTCGAATTTTTCACTAGCAAAATCATTCTCCATATACAGAAAAAAGTAATGATAACTTGGTGCCTCGTCTATAAAGTGAATGATTGAGAACCTCCCAACGAGGCTCACGATGTTTCTGATGATTGATTATCGAGTTAATTTTCGTTTCAGAAATGGATGGATATTGTTGCCATTAAGCTGCTATTCGCAGATCGAGGTACGGTCGAATTCGACTCGTGACGCACGCATACAATGACCTTTTCATTGTGTCCAGCCTTATTTAACGATCTTTCGATCAAAGTTTAAATTCCGGTGAAAGTAAACAGTACTGGACTCGACGAATTGAATAGTTTTATGATATTTTTGAAAAATGGGCTTCCCGAGAGTGAGTTATCTTTGACATCAAAGTTACAGAAATTGAATCAACAAAATTCAAATTGGCTGATGTAGTATTAAAACGATCGTAGAAAATCGTAGAAAAACTGTAAGCTATGGCGTTCTTTCTATTTTCTGGTGTCTATCTTTGACGTAGAAGAATACTGAGTCAAGCAATTACAAAGATGTCTGAGAAGCTTTTTAAGACGAAATCTTATCTTTCTAAAGCCATTCAGCGTAATACGATTGCACTTACACAACGTGGGATACAGTTTACTAAAGTCATTGGAAAATATAATACATATATTTATACTAAAACTTATACTTCAATTCTAAAAGTCTCGAGTCTTGATGCCGGATCGACAATTCTTGGTCGGACACAATTAAATGTAAAATATAGGTGTCGACTCTCTAAGGACTACACACAACATTTGTTGACCCTTTAAAATTCATTGTAAAAATATATGTGTATGTTTTGTATATATGTATATGTATTTATTAATTAAATATTTTACAAATGTGGATACCTTTAATTAACAGTTAAAACTTGCTCTCTAAACACATTCTACTATAAAGATAAACACATATCTGTTATAAATATTAAACTCGTACGTACATATAAAATTTGAATATAAAAACGCTTCATTTGTAATATACATATGAATATATTATTTCGGAATATAAAAACTTGGAATCACAATACCTGGACGGATTGGTTTGCGTTAAATACAAATTAAAAAAAAAAAAAATTATTCACGAAAATTTTATTTCAACTAATTTTTTGTAATTGGAAGTTGAATGGAGGTATCCGCCTGTAGCAGCGGCTTTGCAAACTGAGCTTTCGTCGCTTAGATGAATCGCATCAGCAAATATGCCAATGCTGCTAACAGCGGTGTAACAGTGGTGGCGACGGCCGAGTTAAGTGCGGCACACACTTTCGGCTGTGGTTGAGGAATGTACTTGCAGACAACGTTCAGGAAGCTGGACATGGCTTGATCGTTTTCCTTGGCATCATATTGCTTAAAAATAAGAAAAAATTTAAAAGAAGTAATATTTCCAAAAATAATTTATATATTTTATGTGTATAGATAAATGAATATATATAAATTGAAAGAGCCGAAAATTGCGTTACACATCTTGTATTTTCAAATTGAGATCTATTTTGAATGAATGAATGAATATATTTGAATGAAGTATTATTTCGTTATACGATGGTACTTAAATTTTGCGTCAATTCTCAGGCAACTTTATAAGTTAGTTTCTTTTGCGGTTATATTTAATTACGCTCTGTGTTTAAGAATGTGGAAAAATACTTCCAGTGATGCCAACTTAAAAATATTGGCAAATTTGAACGAGTCTCACTAAAATAGTCATTGGCTAAATCTAACTGTCTTCTAAAATCACGGGTGATCCAAGTAGAGGTACTTTTTCCATAGCCTTTGTTTGACAGATCACGCGTGGGTCGTACCAAGCTGTCGTGTCATTTTTGTTCAGTACTGTTTGGTATTTCATCGTGGAAAAATTATTCCTGGTGGAAAGACTTACGCCTGAACAACGTTTATACAATTTTCAACTTTATTACGAAAATTCACGTTCTGTAAATATCGTGTTTCGCGCGCTTCACTCAACTTAAAATCAACATAACCGGACTACTAAGCATATTATTGGCAAGATCATCTTGAGACCCAGCATTAGTTATTGGATAGTGTTCGGCTGAATAGCCTCGACCTTCCCAAGCGATATCGCTTCGCTCTTTGAGCTCTTGAAAAGTTCCAAGCAGATCCGACGTTTTTGAGCCTAACCCATATCTTGCTTAATAGGTATGGAAACAAACAGAATGGATTTATTATGAGAACACTTCGGTGAGAAAAGCATCACGAGTGTCATTCGCCAGTTACCAGTCAAAAGCTCGAACGAGTCATTGAAAATTGGACTCAACGGATGGAACATCTTGATAATCTTCAAAAATTAATGATAAACAATGTTCTTTTAATTGATAATAAACATACCCTATTAATTTTTAAGTTTCTGTGTTTTTTCTTTAAACAAGTAGGGAACTTCGGAATGGATCACCCTTTCTAAGGAAGATATCTATATTTAGAAGATCTTTTTACTTACTTATCTTGAAGAGAGCAATTTTGACAGTAACTTTTATAAAATAGGGTAGGGTATAATTTATGCTTTGTTATGAAGAAAGGGGATTGAAATTAAGCATCTCAGGATACATTTTGGGTTTTGGTCAAACTTGACAAAATTATTATTTTAGTTCCTTTATCAGTCATTTCTCTAGTTTCCAATATGTACTATATCGTGTACATTTTAAGGTATCTCTCCATAAAAAAGCTCTAAGCGCTTCATGTTGTAATACAATAGCCTTTGAGAAACACTTCACAATAATTATTGACACATGTCAAAATTTTCCGAAATTAAATGAAATTCAACTATTCTATAGTTAATACTTTTCATCCCAAAACTCACCTGCTTGAAGACAACAGTTGGTACGCTTGTCAATGGATTTTGGAATTGCATGGTGGCTTCGCCTTGTTTTTTGAGTAAAATACTGCCTTCAGTTGTGTTGGCGCATTGCTGGATATTTTCCCAGGCGCTAATATGATTTTCACGTGCGCTTAAATATACAACAATAACAGCAAAATTTAAAGCAAACTGTTAATGAATGTTACGATAACAAAGTCACGCCAACACATGACACTTGCAAGCGTGTAAACTGATTTACATAACAGTCAGTCGTCACTTACCAACGTGCACCCGGATATACGTTGTCATCGAAGTTCTTGCCCGCCTTCATCATGCAGTTGATGAAGTCCAAAGTTAGTGATTCTCTGGTGAATTCGATTTGGTAGGAGTTGGCCTGAATATGTTCGATGGCACAGGCATGCACTTTATTGCCGTAGCACTCGTTTGGACCGTGATGACAATCGAAAATCACTTCGGCACCTTGTGTTGTGAACTGCGTAAACAGGTGAACAAACAGAAAACAAAACCGATATGCGTTAGTGTCGTACTACTTGTATATACCATAAATCATTCATGTGATATAATTACGGGCACCTCACAATCAAAAAGTCACAACAAAGAAACGCTAGTTAAGCAAAAGTATGCTTCTTGTCTTTCATTTATTTGTGAGAGCAGAAGTGCGAGTACATATGTATGTATACTTAGCGGTACTTACATGCGACTTGCCAAAAGGCACCCAGTTGATATCCACGTAGTCGCGCAGTTCGCCCTTCACAGCTGGAAAGACCTGCTCGGTAATGAACTTTGCGCTGTCTGGGCAGAGCGATTCATAGTAGATGGTTACCGGCACCTGAATGAAGCAAAATTATAACGCAATTAGTTAAAACTGTATTTTTTCTTAATTTAGATATTTTAGACAAAATTAACAATGCGTATATTCTCACGCTATGTAATATCGTATAAGTTAATTGCGGTCTAAGGTTCCATGTTGTGATTTACGAGGACGATGCAATGAGTACTCAATTTACAACAAGAAAAAACGTTAGCTGCCTACGAAAGGAGTCATATAAGAAGCATACCTTAATAATATCGATTTGTGCTTCGCGAAACCGGAAGCGCTAATGGCTGAAAGTTGCAAGGCAAAACAAATAGGCACTTTAATAATGTTTTCCAATTTTATAGAGAGACAGAGTAGTAATTGCATAGAAAAATTTTACATAATCAAACTATATATAATATAAGTATATTGAATACTTTAAAAACATTTTATAGCAACAACGGCATTTTAAATTTCATTTGAGAGATTTCTAAATAGGTTGAAGAAATTGTACTATTATATTGACGTGTTTATCAGTATCTTTGTTGTTGTTATAGCGGCAGAATCATGCCGTGTTAATAGTTCTTCACTAGATAAAAAATCCGTGTCCATTCCAATTACGTAGACCGCGCTGTCGTGGGAGCGTTCGAAAAGAGGAGACTTGGCTGATAATCTACCGATATCCATCTTCAAAAAAAAGGGGCTTTTTGCCGTCGATCGGTCAATGCTCTAAAGTCTATGCGGACAATCCGCTCCGATTCAAGCCTTGCAGCAAAACATCACCCTTCCAATTCACCAGTCACCAGTCGAAATGCCCGAACGAGTCATCGAAAATTGGACTCTTGAATTGGATGGATTATCTGACACGTAGCCGCGGGCAACATTTGAAAGAGATAATCTTCAAAAAATAAATGCTAAAAAATGTTCTTTCGAATGATAATAAGCATTACACATTAAATTTTAAGTTTCTGTGTTTTCTCCTTAAAGAACTGTAGGGAACCTCGAAATAAATCACCCTTCATAAATGGACAGAGTGACGAGTTGGGTCGATTTAGCCATGTCTATCTGTCTGAATTAGATTGTGCAAACTACTCTGTATTCGACTTCATTAAACAAAGCAATAATGCAAGAGAACTTTAATTCCTTTACACTTCGGTATTATTAGTTTATGCTTCATTTCTCTGAATTCGCTAAATATGGAAATGATGTCAGTTATTTTGCTAAAAATTACGTTCAATTTAGTTAATTGATATGCAAATAGCAGCAAAGCAAATTATAAAAATATTCTAAAAAAAAATAAATACATAAATCGAAATTGTCGAATTTCAAAAAAAAAAAAAAAAAATAAAAAAAACTGGTTAATGGTAAAACGTAGTAAACAATAATACTCGTATGTGAGAAAATAATTCCTGTACACACAAAATATGTATCTACACAAATGTAGTACACATGGGATTATATTATATTCATATTTCAATCACGAATCAGACCGTCTTTTATTCAAATTCTAATATTTTTTCAACCGGCTGCGACCACACTGAAATTCGTCTGCTCAATTGCTTACAATGAAATAAAATACTTTCCGAAAACCAACGTTTTAAAGTGAGCTAATGTTTTTGTTGTATAGCGTTCTACCTCATTTATGTTTATGTTTACTACCAACTTGCATGTAGAACTCGTTTGTAAAGCATAAGTGAAAAGTTAAAAAACATTACAAATGCAACAAAAAACATATGCGCTGTAAAGTTATAAAGTAGTGTTAGTAAGAGGTGTAGACACAAGCCCCTGCAGCTAAGCTTGACTTCACAGCATTGTCGCCAGAACCGGTTTGCTCACAAACATAGAATAACTTATTGCACAGAGTGGTGGAGTCAAGCTAATTGCTCATAAAATTTAATTTATTTTAAACTTTTTTCTCTCTCCGAAAATTGTGAGTTTAAGTGTTTCATTTTTACATATTTGAAATTGTATGAATATATGAAAAATATGGAAGTTGAATAGTTAAGTAAATCAAAGAAAATCTTTTTATACAGATAATTAATTGCCTCATAATTACAATCTCCCTTCAACGATGACAGTTTGGTTTTAAATATATTAGAAAGTAAATTTTGAAAGATAGTTAGTGATTTAAGTTTTGAATTATTTAAAAAAGGTAAGATCATTAATCAAAAAAAGCATAATTTGTGATTTTTAACTTATTAATCACTAAAGAAGCACATCTGGTATGAAATTAAAGAAGGGATAAATTTTTTCACATTTATATACTTTAAAATAACATACTAAAATTTTAAATCGATATTTCAAATAGTTTTTGAGTTAGATCTTCTATAGTGCAATCACTCAGTTCAATTAGCTCCACCAGTTTATTTTTAACCGCGTACTTCTCGCAAGTTGTTAGTTTATTAGAATTGATTAAATTAAGAGCCTGCGTAATTAAAAATATTTGAAGTTGAGAAGGCTTGCTAGGTAATTTATTTTCATTAGTCCATCATTTATTATATTTTTCATCACATCAGACCACTGTGCCTCAATTCAAGTCATGATAAAAGCGAAAACGTTTACCAAAACGCATGTTGGTTGCTAAACATAGCGACCGAAGCAGAAAAGTTAACATAAGTATTACGACAAAACAAAAGACTCGAATTTTAATGACTGTCTCATTCAACATTTTTTCAGTGTTACGGTGTGCAATAACCAACGAAATAAAAATATACAAAACTAATGATTAAAAAAATGCATAGCTATGTAAAATACATAAATACAGTAGACCCCCTTTAATGGAAACTAATGAATTTAGTTGAGAACTTCAGCCAGCCACTGAGTTAAAGGTATTTCTGTATGAATGCAATTAAAAGTAATTTTCCAAGTTTCTCGGCTAATTGCTTCATATTACAAAGTGAAATTTTATCATATTTATAAATTATTTATTTATAAAGAACGGTATTGAGTCTGCCAAAGGCATTGTATTTTAAAGGTGTTTTATATAACCCTTTTATTTAGTCGATTAGCAGTTAGCCACTGAGAATTAAAATATTGACTAAATCAAGACTAATTCACTGAAATAATATTAAATGACAAAATTATAATTTAATTAAGGCTAATTGACTCAATTTAAATTAATTGAAAATTAGAATACTGACTAAATAAAAGCTAATTGACTATATTATTTTTAATTGACCAAATTAGGATTTAATTAAGGCTCTTTGACTCAATTAAATTTAATTGAAAATTAAAATACTGATTAAATAGAAGCTAATTGACTATATTATTTTCAATTGACCAAATTAGGATTTAATTAAGGCTAATTGACTCAATTAAGATTAATTGACCAAATGAAGGTTAATTGGTTATATTTAATACGATTAATCGACTAAATTAAGACTAATTTACCAAATTAAGTTCAATTATTAAATTAGCCTTCTGCTGAAAAATCAGATTTTTAGACAATTTACTAATTTACTAAAGTAAGACGCACCTCTGGTTAAATAGGAGAGGCCGCAATCAAACAAGCTGCTCAGTTAAAAAGTAAGCTACAGATATTTACAATTTTCCAGTTCAATTAACCGTACACAACTGTATATAAGTACAGTTACGCTTTTCTGTGAAATCAAATTCAGATAAATATCTCGCTGAGCACATTGTAACTTTTTAGAAAATTTAAATAATTGTACTACATGATTAGTTAGAAAAAATGGGTCTTTATTAGGCAGGTGTTGGCGTGCAATCGTCACAGAATTTAGTGTTTATTAACCAATTTGTTTTATGTATAACTGTTTATTCGCAGAACGAATTATATTCTAATTTTCCTGTAGAATATTGTGGAGGTATATCTGAAATTATGTATGAACATACATTTTTTATTTTTTTACATATTTACGTATGTGTATACATATGTATACGTGGACCTATTTTTATTTGATTAAACAAATACAGCAACAATTTTCATGAAATTTGTGTGAATATAAATTGGTTAAAAAAATACCTCTATGTACACACGCACATATGTATGTATATATGTATGTATGAACAGTAGTTTTTATCACGATCGGTGTTAATGAACTGTTATTTTGTACACGAAGTCAATAATTGACAATATTTCCTTCGTTTTGTAATAGAATAAATGACCTGATTAAGTGATTAGTTTAATTATACCGCCATTATATTAGCTTCACACTTTAATACAAAATATAAATTGTAAACCTACATATACATATGTTATCATATAACACTATATTGCACAAATATACAAAAAATTAGCATACACATGCTATATTTACATTATTTTCTTAACTAATTCACAAAATTTCATTCAAAAAAGTAAATTTTACAACAAATATATGTACCTACAAGTAAATATATATGCAGGTGCATACATGTAAATATGTATATATAATATACATATATGTACATGCAAACATACATTATCTTAGAATCTGCAAATGACATGCCAATTTATTATTACCTTCACCGCATTCGCAACTGCGATCAACACCAAGAACACACCAACAACGTTCTGACTCATGACAATTTTTGGTTTTTTTTTATATTAAACAACTTTCTGCTGATATGTGAAACTTTGTTTTCCAACGAACGTCACACAAAGATAGCTTGCAGATGCACTGCCGTATAACCGAAAAAAGACAATAACAACAATTCAAACTACACCGGGGTCAACTGAATAAATAGCGACAAAGAAAATAAACACTTTTAAGATGCTCAGCAGGCTGGTACGAATCGGACAACGCCTAAAATTCAACTGCCAACACTTGCTCTGAGTCGCATTCGGCTAGTCTCAGCTAGGGCTCGAACTGTAGCTTTTTGTTTGACTGGTACACCGCCAACCGGTGCTTTGTCTTGGCTTGTCGGTGGATAGACTTGACTCGGTTGGTTGGTTTGGTGGTCGGCTCCCAGTCGCGGCTACGTTTGACTCATTAATTAGTTATGGTACCTATGCACGAAGGCGCTTTGAAATTTGTTTCGATGGCGAGTTGTGAGAGTGTATGATGTGTGTGTGTGTGTGTGTGTGTGTGCGTATGTATGTATGTGAATTGAAAGTAGTTTGAGCTGATCGCTTACTTAATTTCATACGCGCTGTGGGAGAGTTCAGGTGGCAAATGTTGCATTTTATTGATCTTCCGACACTGCATGCTTATAGACTTACGCATGTATGTATGTACATATATGTTATAAAGTTAGTTTATATACTCCTTACATATGCTTATAGCATCGAGGTTGTAAAGTAAGCGCTTTTGCGTACTGGAATTGTAGCTTTTTCAAAAGCAGAACTAATTTTTATGAGTGGCAGACAGATCGACAAAACGTTTTAATTTTTGTTTTATGGCATACATATTTTTAGTGAGTCTTAATTAAAGCTTTAGTAATTTGTTAAGTATATTCCGTTATATTTATAATTTTGAAACGGCCGTTCATTTTTCTACTTGAGGTTAAAGGTTTAATGAAGCTGGCTGAACTGAGGCTTAATTTTTTTATTTTCATTTTTTTTTGTTTTTAATTCAATGCCTAATATATTTCAAGAGCTTTTTGCTCACGTCGATTTGAGCAAAATTACAGAGTTTAGAGCATTTGTATAACTGTTTTATGAACGTTCAACAACAAATTTTTTTTTATTTTCAAACTTTTGAAGCTTTGTTTAAAATCACCTTTTCAAAGTCTAAACCCAGCATTCAGTATTGAATAATATTCGACCGAATAGACCGCGTCCAGCTCGCCTGAATTTGAAGCTCGTGATCTTGGTGACATTTGGTTTCAAAAAGACGGTGCCACTTCCCACACATCGCATCAATCCCCCACAAGATTTGTAGGACATATTCATTTTTCATGATTCGAGCCAAATGCAAAATATTTTTAAGCAGACTAATGTTCATACATGCATAGACAAATAGGTAAGCAAAAAATTATATTGTACATATGTACTTCCACCTTTTATTTAGCGGGTGTGATATGCAGTAAGCGGATAAACTTTCCGTTCACAAACTATACTATTGATTCTATAATATATAACTATTGTAATATATACTTAGTTAAAACTGAGAGGAAATTAAAATTATTCGTTGCAGTCACGCAAACGGTTTTTCTGTCTACGTTTTAATTTATCGGCACTTGCTGATTGTGGGGAGAACAAAAATATAATACAAAGTAGTAAAATTTTATTTTATTATTAAAAAGTATAATATGTAGTGCGTTCACAGCGAGTACACGGTAAATAAGCAGCCTAAAATATTGAAGATTCTAAAATATAAATTAAATAAAGAAATATACATTTTTATAATTTTTTTTCAAACCGTCAAGAATATGATTTTTGCAATCAAGGATTACAAAACAAACAAACAAAGTTAGAATATTAATTAAACCCCACGACAGTCTCGTCTACGTAACGGGAATGGATCCACATTCTTTGTCCGGTCAAGGACTGCCTACTCGGTAGAATTAAGCTGCTACAACAACAACARCAACCTTACTATACTTTTCATTTAAATAAATACTTTCCTATAACTATTGCCATTTCAAAAATCGGAATATTTTTTGGCTTCCCTTGCATTTGCGGTTAACAGTGAAACATTTGTAAGTAAGTAAATTTGGTAGTGTGTTGGAAATCAGAACCAACTTAGAATCAGAATACCAAGGTTGAGGAGTACGTAATTGTTGTTAGAATATTGTTGTTTGCGTAAGAAGTACGTTATTTTAGTAGCTAATTCGCACGCGATGTCCTTACAAAGTTGTTGTTCTTCCTCCTATAATTTTGAGAAATGTTTTCGAGTGTATGGTCCTTGACTTTTTTCTGGTTACGTTGACCGTAATATTTTATATTGCTTGGTGGTTGCATTTGTTACCTACATACATGAAAATTCATATTCTACATACATATGTACTTCATTGAATGGCATTTAGCAAAGAGAAAAATAAAAATAAAACTTGCATTAAAATCCTCGAAGTCACATTTGTATTGCTGATACATTAACATAAGAGTCTCCGACTTTTCCTTTTGGGTGTTACAAACTTTAAAATAACCAGTCACTTGTATAAAATCATACAAGCAAATCAAATAGAAAATAATAATAATGCTTTACTATGTTTTTATCCCTAATGTATTTATGATTGCAGGGTGGCTACAGAAATATTTCTATTGTTCAAATAAAGTTATCGTGTATTTAGAAGAGCTTAGGAGAATGACTATATATTGATATTTATTTTACGTGATATATATTGCGAAATTGTTCATTTAGAAAATAAAACCTTTCGTTTAATGAATGCACATAGCCCCTTAATGATTGCAGAAACAGATGGCATTATTAAAATAAAATTTTATTATACTTAAACGAAGTCAATAAAGCATTTACTGCGTTCAGCATTTATTTAATAGAAATAGAAAATCTTTGCAAGTATAGTAACATAACAGATGTAACTAAGCTTACATGTCAGCTTACAGTAACTTTTTAAACAACTTGTCAGACAAGTTTAAAATTAATTAGTGTCTTCAGATGCTACTAGCTTATGCAGAAAGTAACCTTGCTTTCACTATAAGTCATTGCATTTATTAATATTTAATTATACCGTGTATTCATCTATACTTAATACTTAGTTGAAGGAAAGTTTAACAGCCTATTAACATTACTTAATCGCGAAATATAAAACCTTTCTCTTTTAAATCTTTACGTGCGAGCGCAATCTGTTCTTGCAGTTCCTTGGCTGCCAGTGGGCAATCATTAAATGTAAACGTGCGGTAGAGTACCACAGATGCCGAATAAGCCTGTGAAAATAAATTAATTTTATAAGGAATTGAATAGATTTGAGCTTCTGCTTTAGAATGTTTACTGACTCACCCCAAACAACACCAGCAATACAAGTGGCAAAAGCTGAATTTCCAATTCCCATTTGGTAAGCACAGGTGCGCGCAGTATGCCGGTCACTATGGCCAAATAAGGTATCGCAAAGAGTCCAATATATAAAAGCCAACGTTGTAAATTCGTCATAACCATTGTTTGCCGGTAATTTTTATCAATTGCTGGAATGTTAAAATTGAATATGTGTAAATAATAAACACTTGCGTGGCTCTTGACATTAACAAACAGCTGTTTTCTGGCCGTCGTTGTATTTCTAGATGAACGGCTTAAGCACAGAGTCTATTGTGAATATCGGAGGTTGTCACGTTAGATGGCGCCAGTAAGTGTATGTTTTAAGAGTATTTCAAAAAGTAAGTTATTGTATAAAATTCTAAAATATCAATTTATATAATTAGGTTTAAAAATTAAATTAAATTTCATTGGAAAATATAGACAATATAACAAAAATTAAATAAAAAATAATTTTGCTGGCGTTAGGAGCTCGGGAAGAGGAAGTTGTAGATATTTTCATTACATAAAAATTTGCTATATTACATTTTTCTATAGGAATCGTTGTTTTGCTGGAAAGGGAGAAATTTTTAACCTTTAAAAAAAATTAACTACGCCTACTCGTCCTCTTCCCCACCTCAGGTCGTCCGAATATATGTTGCCATTAGTTATACCCCTTCATCGTATATGATAAAAAATTACTATTAAATTATATAATCAGCTAATTATTTCGAAGTTAAGTGTTTATTTATTATTTTAATGATCTTTATAATAATTTATGGTATTTTGTAAATGATTTATTACTACAGAGCAGGGTTCATTTTCCAACAAATTTTTGACGCGACAGCCGATGATTTGGAATTTTATATCATCTGTTTGCACATTACCACCAACAAATAGCTAAAACGTTTAATTTTATAATAAACTATTTAACATTTGGTATTTTCATATAAAAATTGCTTACTTCTGGATTACTGCTCAAGGCCCAAAGTTCATCTTCATCGAGATTATTGCGGTTCACTTTGAGGCCTGTGACAAATCGCAGTCTATCCGGATTATAAGCGACAACCTGCAATTTGAAAACAAATAAATATATATTGTTTTAAATTTTGATAAGTCTTGTATGATAAAAAATAACGGTATATGTTCCACAATTTTGATACAACACCTTTCTTCTTCTTCGGGATACTTCTAAATATAGTTTTTTATTGTTTATTGGGGGCGTGTCTTTCCGTTAATTTGTCAACTTTTCTCTCAATTACCTTCAAATGATCCGAATCGTAATCGCTATTTTCCTTCCAGGCTATTAAGGCGCTTGAGCTTATCAAACTGCAATATAAATTACCCTCACTGTCCATAGCTTCCGATTCACACTGTATGCCGCGGCTGCCAACGATTCTAAATTCTTTCAGCACTTCATTTTGTGTTTCCGTATTCTTAAGTTGTGTCCACAGTGACGCATTATTGACCACAACTAACGGTACACTTACTTCTAGAAAGCTATTGAGTGCGTGGAAATATAAGCGGCGCTCAGCTGGAAAAAAAAATATAATAATAATAATAATAATTTAAAAATCTTCACTTAATGAAATCGAGTTCTAAAATTTATCTCAAGTGAAAAGTTATATTAAGGGAATAAAGCTTTAGAAAACTTTGTAAGGTTCTGTCTATATACAACAATAGAAGTTTTATAAAATTTCCAAAAAAAAAAAAAAAAATCACATTACACTTTCGGTACTTATTGGCTTTCAGCTTAATTAACTATTAATTTTCATAAGTATTTTACCGTTTTCACCGCCTTCCCTGTCATGCTGTCTTGGACTTATGCTGACTGTAAAAATGCCGCTGCTGCCTGTTTTATCCTGTGTCAATTGCTGATCTGGTTGCATGTGTGCATTTTGTATGCGCCAAGATTGACCTCGACG